TATATAATGTATCAATACAACGTTTTAAGATATATATATGCACGTGTATCTAGTGCACCTTACGTACATTTTATGATCTTACTTACATCTTTGTAGCTATATATAAAGTGAAAATAGAAATAAACACATATGATACTATTATAAATTGTTAAATAACCACATATTGCGGACATTTTCGTACTCCTTCTTTGAAATTTTGAAAGATTTTGTCTGTTTTAAGTGTTACGACTTACATGTAGTCATCCAACTATATATGCAGTCGTGATGATATACATGAATGTACGAAAGGACTCGTACGTATTTTGTCTGTTCGAATTCACTCAAACAGACATTACACATGCCTAATCCTATTGAATACCTTCCAGTATAAAATAAGTTAGAAACACAACTACTAAACTAGTGATCCTCATAACAAGGTATACCATATTATTTTGGCATGGTAGCCCTATGCTGGCCGTCACTCTAAGCAATAGCATAGCCACTGCAACACATAGCTGAAAATCTGTTCATGAATTAATCAAAGCAAAATTACATTGAATCAATCATTTATCTAATATAAATTAATTAGCATTATAGATCTATGACTAAATAAAAATGCATACTAATTAAAATACAATATCTTATTTATTACAATAAAACTAGAATAAAAAACATCCTAAGGTACAATACGACTATACTTAGGACATGTCATGTCCGTACTCAACCACGTATATATGCAATCACGATGGTATACATGACTACACGGGAGGACAAACCGTTCAAACTCACCCAAACAGACTCGACATGTCCCATCCGTGAAACCTATTCCTTGTTGTACCGAATAGGGTACACGAAGAAATAAACTAATGACCCTTCTAAGACGTTCAACAGTTGCGTTACGTTTGATCCTAAAACGGACCTCATAATAAACTACCAATAGAAAAACTAAAAACAATCCAAAGAACCCAACGATATAGTAGATTAAAGTTGATCTTTTGTAAAGTCAATCTGCAGCTTGACCGTTGACACAATCAATAAAACACATGGCAAGAAAAATCTGTTTCAGACAAGAAATATTATATTTTTTAAAAGAAATCGGTTACTAATTAGGGACCTACTAATTACTTTATAAATATTTGAAAATCTTTTTAAATTAAATATTTTGTTAAATAGCTTAGTTTGAATTAAAGGATTATATTTTTAGCTTTTTTTAACCTAGTCTATCTAATAAAAGTGTAAAAATATGGGTCATACACTAGTTTAGTTTCAATTTTGGGGAAATTCTTAATCACTTGGCCAAATTTGCAATCCATTTGGTCATTTATCAAATTCAAATTTATCAATATTGGATCAATTTTCACTCAAGATTTGGCCCAAAACCCTTTCCAAAACAGCTCAACTCCAAATATTAGCCCAACCCAAATTCATCAGCCCAACTACAATTATTCATCAACCCAACCTATTTCTTTTCACAAAACAGACCCAAATCCTCCGGTTCAATCGTTTCACCTAAAGTACATTATGTATTAATACGACGTTTTAAGATATATACACGTGCATCTAGTGAGCCTTACGTGCATGTTATGAGTCTTACGTACATCTTAGTAGCTACATATAAAGTAAAAATAGAAATAAACGCCTACTATTTTAAATTGTCAGATAATGGCATGTTGCGAATTTTTCAAGTGCATAAAACCTTTTAAGAACTTTGTACCCTTTCTTTGACAAATATATATTTTCATACCTTAACGACGACGACGAATATGCTTGCTTAGAGAAATGATGCTAAATTTAATAAACAAAAAGAGTAAAAGTAATAATTATTTTATATATATATATATAGATAGATAGATAGATATAGATATATTGTTATTTAGAGTATTTATTAAGTAAAAATAAAGGAGGGAATTACTGACTAAATATTTTACCTTGAAAATTTAGGCAGTGGACCAATTAAGCTAATAAATTTTGATGATATAAAACTAATATCATTCCTTTTTAGATAAAAATAAAATAAAATTAGAATAGAGTGGTTAATCTTTTGGTTATAAATAGCAAAACAAAATAAAATAAATAAAGGAATAAAAATTGAAGATCATCCGAATGTGATAGTGAATTGAATCTTAAAACTCGTTTGATTGAAAAATAAGTTATTTCATGTTTAATTATTTTGAGAAAGATTATCTTGAATAATTTCAATGTAAGATAAAAATTAACACCACAATCACAACTTAACTAATTTTAAAATAGTTAGTTATTTTGTTAATTTTTTCTCATCAGTTAAATATGGTAAACTCATTCTAATACTTAGGTTGTGTATCAATCAGTTCGATTCTGTTTTAAAGTTTATCGGTTTGACTTATTGATTATCGGCTTGTAGAGATGTTAGATCATTATAGAACAATTTAAGATATTGACTTATTGGTTATTGACTTATCGATTTTTAATCGTTTTTAGTTTAATCGGTAAAATTTAACACAAATAAATATATTGAAAATTACTTATAGAAAAAAAGTGATAAACCAAATGAATCATGCACATGAGTTTACAAATTATATCTTTTGGAGACACAGTTAAAAATAAGATAGTAACCGAAGAAGATCGAATTGAATTTGATATTTTTGAAAATGAGAAAACTGATAAATATCAAAAGAGAAATAATATTTTATAGTTGTTTAACATAATGTTACAACTTACAAAGTTACATGTAAGCTTGTTTATAAACCTTTCTTGTAATTTATGCTATATAGGGATAAAAGAAAAAAAAATAGTTTAGAGAATTCAGATATATCAAAATTAGTTTTATTTTTACATAGCAGCCTTAATTGAGTAGTTTAAAGAATTCAGAGATATCAAAATTAATTTTATTTTTATATAGCAGCCATAATTGAGTAGTTTAGAGAATTGAGATATAACAAAATTAAATGAAGGAATAATGTACTACTTCACGCAGTACAAGGTCGTGAATATATATAAAATAAAATATATATAAATAATAAATAAAAAATATTCGTTCTCCATTTTATTAGGGAGTTGAAAGAAACATTTTTTGGACCATAAATTTATCATTATTTCACATATTTTGGAATCTTTAACAACTTGTTACATATTTGTATGTGAATATTTTATCTTTTGATTATATAGAAAGTAATTTTTTTTATTATATTATTAAATTCATTCTTATGTAACGATAAATGGTTTCATTTTAGAATGGATTTCGTGTTATTATTTTTTATTTTGGTTTATTATTTAATAATTCTTAATTCATATACGATACTTCTATTGTAAGTTTTATGTTTCAAATTGTTGGTGTTTGATTTTATGTAATGATGAAAAATAATAGAGTAGTATAATTTATCCAAATATTATATGTATTTATCAAAACAATATAATATAATTAGATGTGTATAATTTAGGATTTCAAAAGGATGAGAGCATTTGTAAAAAGATGAATTTAAAATATAAATTTGATTAATTTAACATTTAGACTTATCACTAATTGGTCAAACTATTAAAAGTATAGGTTTAAATAATTCTTCCATGTTTACGGTATTGAGATTGATTGTATGGTATATTATCGAGCACAACTAGTTTTATCATACATATTTAGTTTTAATTATAAATAAATAAAATATAATTTGACTGGTGAAAGAATTGTAAAAGTTAAAGCAAAAAGAAAAAGTATATTAATTAAAACACCAAAAATGTTATCAATAATTATTTAGAGAGGTATTACGGATGTTTACGAAATAAATAAGATATAAGATTTAAATTTTAAACTTCATTAAGGAGTTACCACACATCATTATCACACTATATGATCCTTCGATCATCGGTTCACACATTTATATTTATTTTAAGAAGAAATCATGAGTTTATATGAATCCAGAAAGCCTCCTAGATATATCATATTAATTAATGAATGGTTAGATCTTGAGAATAATTTAGTGCATAAGTAATTAATACAGAGTATAGATTAAAAATCAATAATTATCTTATCTTAATAGATTAAAAGTGACTAGCAAAAAGTAAAAAAAAATACTTTTAAAATAAAAAAAATGTAAACAAAGAAAGTAATAAATAAATTTAAAAATAAATAACAAAGAAAACAAAGAAGAGAACATAACATAAATCGCCCACACAAATGCGTTTTCTTTGTTTGCTTTCAACATTTACTTTTAGGTAGCAAAGATTTATTTTTTGTTTTTAATTGAAAATATGTTTGCCATTTTTTATATTTACTTAAAATTCGTTTGATTGAGAAATTAGTTATCTCGAATTATTATCACAAATTTCGTGTGGGATAAAAATTAACATTACAATCCGAGAATAACAAATTTTGAAACAGTAACTTATTTGATAATTTTATCCTTATTAAACATGGAATAAACTCGTACTAACATTAATCTCGAAGCTAATTTTTTCTAATTCTTCGTGAAATCAAACGAGTTCTTAAATTTTACTCGATCCAAATTAATTACGTTGTTGCTAGCAAATACCACTATTTTTGGTTTTGGATCTTCCAAATCATTCCCGCAGGAGATCCTGACCCATTTTTTTCTGATCCTTCGAGTTCGACAAATTGACCCATTAAAAAACCTTTGATAGAGAGTAGAGTCATAACTAACTTTATAAATGTATTTTAGTGTAGGTAACACGAAAATAGTTAGTACTAAAATAAAAATACGAAAATTAATTATCTAATAAAAAAATCAAGCTATCTTTTATTTATTACTTATAATAATATATCCTTCAATTAACCTACCAAAAATAATATATCCTTCAACTAACGGACAAAAAAATAAAAATTCATCATTTTATCGCTAGACAATAAAATTTGTTGATAATTCTATTTAACGCTAAAGTAATAACATATTTCGATTAGTTATTAAGAGCAAATTAATTAACAACGGAATAGCAACAGAATTTCTAACTAATTTCAATTTAAAATAAAGGAGATTTTACGTACCATTAAGTGTTACATAAAATAAAAATATTTGAGTATTAATTTTTAAGAAATTAAAAAGACCAAAACTGCTCATAAGTTGCAAAAATATGGTGCGTTAGTTTCCTCACTCAAAAGATGAGGGACTAATCGCTTTCTTCTCGTTCTCTCTTTCACATTCAAACTCGTCGAATCCAATTTGTAACAGGTAATTTCTCTGTCAAAATTCTGTTTTCCAGTTCTTTGTTCTTCTTAATTCTTTTGATCAGCTGTTTGTATCAATTATTATTCAGTTCCATGCTGATTTTTGGAAAAATCTCTTCACTGTAGTTGTTCAAAATCTCAATCGAAGTGAAAATTACTTGTTGATTTGCCATAATAATCGACTTGGTTCGAATATACTGCAGAAGTTTGGTTTTGGGAGGTTTGTGTTATATGGATGAAAATAGGTCTTTTTCTCTCCTTTGATAATTTGAGTTCTGAGTCATGATGACTGCAGAATGGAGGAGCTGCTGGTGGGGAAGCATGTTAAGTACATTATAACAGTTGAGAAGGTACTCATTTGTTACATGTCTACTAATTTTCCTCTGTCTCTATGATTTGATATGTATAAATCTGTGCTTAGGTGGTTGTTCCACCCTCATCCAATTTGTTGCTCATATAGCTGTGTCTCCGTTTAATACTTTGAACAAGTTAAATAGGATTTTCCTGTAGGGAGATACTTGTGAAGCTAGGGAAGTACATTTGGATAATTAGAGGACAGTTGTGAAGGAGACATAGTATGGTTTGTAGGTATTAGCTATTATCGTGATGCTGATTCTGCCCTACTTGTTAAAGTATGATGGATCCTTCTTAAGCATCATAGTATCATTTGTGTTAGAGTACTCCAGACTAGTATTTTAGGAACTTTCAGCATTTGGATTGTCTCAATTGTCAAGTTCAACATTATGGTTGTCATATTTCGAACGATATCATATCCGGCCTAAAAGAAGTTGACTATGGAGTTGTTTGGAATGGATCTGGTTTCCTCCTTTTGGTCTGGTATAGCTTGGAACTTTGTGATATGATTGACTTTGGGATTGATAGATGACATTTAATCCCTCACAGTTAACGACACCCTTGATACCTGAGAACGGTGGCATTTCACCTGTAATATATATTTGTTTGAGTGGGTATACTTAGACTAGCATTTCTGTTGTGACTTCGTGCAAATGCCCCGTATATTCTCCTCATATTCTTACGGTTGCGAGATGATACATTAGTACGTATTATTCATGGAATTTAAGTACTTGATGGAGTTCCTTTCTTTTCCGCCACCCACTAAGGCACTTCTCTTGTTACTCTATGGTATGCTTTCTCTAATACGTTCCTGTATACCTTCAGAGGAAAGATGATTTTGAATCTGTGGTGATGGAGCATTTGAGATTAAATGGGGCATACTGGGGATTGACAACTCTGGATATCATGGGCAAGCTTGGTGCAGTGGAGCAAGATGAAGTTATTTCATGGGTCATGCAGTGCCAACATGAATCTGGTTGGTGTCTCACACTTCGTTCTTGCTTCTCACAATGATTTTTTTTGTCAGTATTTCCAAATATTGCAGCTATACTATGACTGCTGCTTTTTTAATGGATATTGCTTTTCTCTTTTCTTTTTTCCTATAGAGGTAGTTACTATCATGTTTTGATCTACTTGATCTGGATGTAGGCTTACTTCTCGATTTGTCTAATATGCAGGTGGATTTGGTGGTAATATTGGACATGATCCGCATGTTCTGTATACACTTAGTGCTATTCAAGTCTTGGCATTATTTGATAAAATACATGTCCTTGACATTGATAAGGTGTCAAATTGTATCCTACTTCATGTCACATTTTACAATTGTCTTTGAGGTACTGTGTACATATCCTTTCGATCTATGTATTGCATCCGTGAACTTTGCTGCAATGCTAACATTTAGAGGGTGTGCAATGTTAACCTCACAAAACCAAAACATGTGGTTAAGTTAACATCAAGAGTACTCATGTCTCATCACAACAGTGACATTCTCGATATTGGCAATTGGAAGTACTATTAAGAAATTTGGGTGTGACGAAGTGGTGGACTTAACATTTCAGCTAGATATTGCAGGTCTGCAAAATGAAGATGGATCATTTTCTGGTGATATATGGGGTGAAGTTGATACACGGTAGCTGCTTCTTACTTTGTTTGCTACTATAAATTTCAGATCCTTTATTTGGTTTCTCGTTTTTATATTTACTTATACTGCCAAGGATTAAGCCATATATCTTTTTCCGTCAAAAAAGAAAAGGTATATCTTTAGATACATGTGTTTTTCTTTTGGAACATAATATCCTCCTTTTGGGAATTGAAAGTATAATGACCTAAATATATTGTGCAGTTTCTCTTACATTGCTATCCTTTCACTCGCATTGCTGCACCGGTTAGATAAGGTTGATGTTGGAAAAGCAGTGAAATATATCTTAAGTTGCAAGAATGTGGATGGTGGATTTGGATGCACACCGGGAGCAGAATCTCATGCGGGGCAAAGTATGTCACATATAAAAAACATGCATTTTATCCTACTACTAATGGCTTCTAACTGAATGACAAGTCAGAGTGTTGATGTACTTTAGCGTTGGCCCTTTTTTGGTTTTCAACCTGTTTGTTCTACTTAGCATCCATATTTCCGGCTGTCTTCTTCTTATTTGAGTTGTGTATTGCTGCGTTACTGAAAGCAATTTCGACTATGCTACCATTGCAGTTTTCTGTTGCGTGGCAGCTCTCGCAATTACAGGGTCTCTACATCATGTTGATAAGGACCTCCTTGGTTGGTGGTTATGTGAAAGACAAGTCAAATCTGGGGGACTAAATGGTCGCCCAGAGAAGCTTCCTGATGTTTGTTACTCTTGCTACATTGGAATTTTTATCGACAGGTCAGCTTTGTGTTTTACTGAGGGTCATGTTGTTGCTTCTCAGGTATGCTACTCTTGGTGGGTTCTTTCCAGCTTAATTATGATCGACAGGGTTCATTGGATTGACAAGGGAAAGCTTGTAAAATTTATTTTGGACTGTCAGGTTACATTCGAATATAACAATTCCCTTCACTTGAAGCTTGGCATTGAATACTATATCTTTTTGTAGTTGTCCAACATTTTTGTAATGCCTGAGTTATATTCCCCTTTCACGAATGTAGGACAAGGAGAATGGTGGAATTTCAGATAGGCCAGATGATGCAGTTGATGTCTTCCATACTTACTTTGGAGTTGCTGGTAAGGGACATATGACATTTTTGTATTGTGAAATAGCTAATGTGTATTTCTCTTACGATCCATATGGCTGTTAAGAAGGATCTATCATCTGAATTGTGTTGTCTCCATTGGTGTCGCTATCAAATATGATCTCTCTTGGCCTTCCTAATATGTTGTGAATTGAATTGATTAAACTTTATCATGTATGAAACTAGAAGCAAATTTTGAAGGATGTTCCTGGAATCATTTTCTAAGCTCTACTGCAGTTGTTTTTTCTATTGTTGATGACGATTTAGATTGACCTTTAACAACCCAAGTGTTTAAACTTATTCGTCTGATTTTCTTCTGCAACCCAGGACTTTCACTTCTTGAGTATCCAGGAATAAAGCCGATAGATCCTGCTTATGCCTTGCCTGTTGATGTTGTAAACCGAGTTATGCTTGGCAGATAATCTCTGGGTTTTTGCTCCATTCTAGCTAATAACAGCATTCTCTTGATATGAGATTAGCAGAAACAGTTTCCCTTGATGACAGGCGGATTGCGTTACCAATGCTGCAACATTTTTTCATCATAACGGCTCTTTCAGGAAGAAACAAACCTAAAGCAGGGATCCAGGATTTTAACTTTATGGGTTTAGCCTTTGTAGTTTTCAGCATAACTCATTATAATTCTTAAGTTACATTTTCAGATTTGATATCTGTTGGTATTTTTAGTGATTTTTCGTTTATATATACTACATCTTGTTGCAAGCAGCAACAGTGTAATAATTGTACCAACTTTTACCATGTTAAACTAAAATCAGTGCATTATATTCTTTTCGTGTTTGTGGCATGGTCATTATTTAGCTTGAAATTACATACATTTATACATGTGTTTAATATAAGCTTTTATTTCTTAAATCATAACTACGTGATATTAATCGACCGCACCGCAGGTCTTAATAAGTAAAAAAGGTTTTAGTAATTTAATGTAGGGACTTGGTCACCATCAATAATAACGAAAATCATGGAATGTTTTAGACACACACGGATAGCACAGAGAATAGATTCAAAAAAATAGAAAAGCAGTTAATTGAATGATTATGTTTTTTGTTTTTGTAAGTGCCTGAAAATACGGTTTCAAAGAAAACCGTTACCTTACATTTTAACATTTGTCCTATAAATATTGGACATTTGCAATTCCTCATATTGATCTCATACATTCCAAGAGAAGTAACCCATGATGGCATATCTCAAATCATGTATTGTTTTGTCGATTTTGTTATGTTTTTTGATGGGTTTTTCTCATGGAATTCATCTTGATAAAAGTACGATCCTGGCGCTTTTAGCTAGTGGTGTTGGTAGTGGTAGTGTTTCTGCAATGCCATGCGTGCAAAAACTAATGCCATGTCAACCAGCATTTGCAGCACACATGAAAACTCCTCCAGCAACATGCTGTACGCCATTGAAAGAAATGATATCAAATGATGCACAATGCCTTTGCACTGTTTTTGCCAATTCTGATGTAATGAAAAGTATGAATGTAACTCAAGATGAAGCGTTGAGTTTTGCAAAAGCTTGTGGTGCTAAACCTGATCTTTCCCTTTGCAAAAAAGGTACGCTCTATCAATTCATTATATGTATATATATGCTATGCGATTTATATCTCCTGTATGAGTAGAATGGAAAAAAAAAAGACGGAAAACATTTATCTTAATTTTTGATGTCAACTAATTAAATGGACGGAGGGAGAATTATAATAGATTTTTTTAGCAATTTAAGATAATGTGGATAAAAGATTCATTTTTAAAAAAAAATCCAAAATGGAGTAGTTTATGTTGCTAATATATGCCTTGTGAGATAATATATCTTATTTTTGAAGTTTGAAATTTTTAAAAAGCTTAAATATTCTTTGAGCATCTGATAATTAGTCTAATAATTAATTTTCTTGTAATTAACCTAATTAGTATTTGTTTTTATGTGCATAAATATAGCCCATGGTGAAGCTTCAGCTCCATCTCCCAATACTTCACAAACTAACGGTAAGTATATTTTAATGTTTTTTCACACTTTTTCGTATTCAATTCTAGCTATTTCTACGCCTTCTAATCGACCCATAGTAAGTTGGTTGACATTTCAATGAATTATATTCACACTTCGTATAATCAATAATTTTATTAATTTATCTCTATACATTCTATTTGGACATTCATCTTAGCGTTGACACTTCTACCTTTGTATATGTATATATTAGTGTAATTTAATCAAGTGTACTGTAAACCTAACACATTAACAGTTTCGATAATTCTATTTAATCTCCTAAGTCATACAGACTCTTATTATATATCTGACATATATAATATCGTTTTATTTTTTCAGATTCGAGTTCCACTAACAACACTGCAAGTCCACCACCAGCAAACACAGCTAGTGTAACATCCAAATTTGGAGGATTTGTTGCTGTTGCATCTCTTATGAGTTTAGTGATATAATGTTGTTAGCATTTTTAAGGATTAATCATTACTTTGCTTAATAGGCAAATACAATATCTCGATTATTTCAAATTTTTTTAGTTTACATCACCAAATTTATTTTTTCTCTAAGTATTAATGCTGAGATGTGTGATGTTTAGTAGTAATTGTGTTTTCATTTGTTCTTGTTATAATTTGATATCAACACTTTTATATGAATTATTATTTCTTTTCAGTATTGATCTTATCATTATGGAGTACTAAATCAACATGACGATATTTGAGAGCTAGTTAAAAGATTAACCGTTGCAATAATGGAAATCACCTTATTTAGGGTGCCGTTTGGTCATGCGATATGAATTCGTCATGATATTATAATATGAGATCATGAGATAAAGTTGAAACAAATTCGTTAGAGGTAAGGAAGGGACCATAGAAATGTTCTTCACGCTAGAGTTGTGGATTCGAAGTCTTCTCTCTTTTAAAAGAGAATTTAGAACCTCCAAACTCTTAATCCTGACTTCACCTCTATGTTTATTGAAAAAATAATTAAAATAATCCTTAATGTATTTCGTATTCTCTTTTAAAATAGAATTTAGAATCCCTAAACTTTAAATCCTGACTTCACCTCTACGTTTATTGAGAAAATGATTAAAATAGTACTTAATGTATTTCGTAATAGTATAGGATCTAATAGCCTTCACTTAATTTTTAATGACAAAAAACAATAATGTTGATATCAAGTGCTGCTACCTATGCCTCTACTTAAGTAGAAAGTAGAATAAGAGTATATTTGTTTTTGTACATTTTTTTTATTTGTTAAAATGACATCCAAAAGATCCAATTCCATAGTCATTTTATTTTTCCTTTTCATTATAAACTTCTCCATAGTTGATTCATGAAATAAAATTCGTGCACGTCACCCTATAAAACTTCAATTTCTTACTTCCATAACATATATATAATTTATAATACTGAATGTCAAAAAGATAACTTTTCTTTTTCACCTCAAACAATTCTAGAGTAAGATAACGATAATAACTATGCATCAATCAAGAAATAATCTAGAATCGACTAGATAAAGTCATTACTGTCTAAGTCTCTTCAATAATTTACATATAATTGAATTAATTCTACCACCTCATCAATTTATAAAAAAGATTGATATTTTGTGGTGGGAGGGGAAAATTTTGCAACATTGGCTGGTCAAAACTATTTTGGAGATTTAGTTATATTTGATGATCCAATTACTTTGGATAATTAATAATATATATTCATTCAAATAAAGTTGGAAGAGTCGTTGGATCATAAATAAATTTGAAATAAACTAATGTCTAAATTTAATTTCAAAAATTGATGAGTTAATTCTTTACTAATAGGAAATATTTAGAAGCTTAATATTATGATTCAAACATCTACCACTATTATTTGCCTTGGCATGTTTAATGATCCCAAACTATTTAATTAAAACAATAGCTAGCTCCGCTAATTTTGAATTATGATATCATAAATCCTAAAGTATACTCTTTTTTTTCTCAACTTGCTTCTTACTTAAATTAATAATGAAATGTTTTTTCTAAATTTAATAAAAAAATAATATAGATGTTCGTCTGCAACGAGGGTAATCGAGAGCTATGACAAGATTGTCATGCTTGAAGATGCTAATTGATATTCAACAACAAGAACTGAGGAACGTAAATGGTATTTCTCCGATTATTAATTGTCATATTTTTCATTTTTAGAGTCGAATTATAAAATTTTTGACTATTTCACAATATATTTTTTCATCATATTGAAATACAAAAAATTACAATATATAACATTTTTCGTATAGTTTTTGAATATCTAAAATTTTTATTTATAATATCAAATTAATATTATCTAATTTAACACTAAAAATTAGTCAAATTGACTCTCGAAAAGCACAACACTACAAATAAAAGTGAATAGAAAAAGTAAATGATTAAGACTTAAAAATTGTGACTTTCATGACTGAAAATATACCTACAAGAGCAGTACACGAAAGAACCGATGAACTTCTAGGGGGAAAGCTTTTGAAGAGGCAATGCACATGATATTTTAGACAAATATCTCGCATCAGAATGAGACAGAAAAATGAAGAGAATATACACTCTATCCCACAATATTATTCGCATGTTTACTTTTGAAAAATCGAACCACATGAATTTCAACTCCCATTTCAATAATTACTGTTTCATCCGTCAACACCTAATTTTAGTCCTCCGTTATATACATTAATCACCGAACTTTTTTAAATTTTAAATGGTTTAAAATAATTAGTTTTTATATTTAAAAAATCAAATTATTTTATTTACAAGTTATTTTAAAGTAATTTTGTCATTTTTTAAAATAACTTTTAGATAATATATATGGTTTTATATAATTATGTAAGTAAATAGTACATTTTATAAATACTATAAAAACGTCTCAAATTTTTATATTTTGTTTCACTCAAATATTTTATTAAATTAATGTAGTTGGTTAATAGTTTATACTCCCACCCCAAATTACTTGTCTATATTTCTTCTTTTGGTCATCTTTAATTACTTAATCCATATTAAAATAGGATATGTTTTTTATCTTATACTCTTGAATCAAGAAACTCAATGCAATGGTGTATCTACCGCCTACGTCTCAAGCACTGCGTCCTCACTGTCTCCAGCACTGGCGTCTCTCTGGCGCATCGTCACTATCTCCAATATCAGCTTCTTTTTTATCTTTAAGCGTCCTTTCTTTCTCCAGTACCGCCGTCCTCATCGGCGTTGTCTCTCTATCCACCACTAACGTCCTCTCTGTATCCAACATCGACGTCCTCTCTCTATCCGCCACCGACGTCCTCTCTCCATCCACCACCGACGTCCTCTTTCTCTTTAGCAGTCACCCCAATAGCTACCATAATAAGTTTATTGTTTATTGTATCAATAGTTATAGATCAAGTGGTTAAGTTTGTTTGTGTTAATTGTCAAATGGGATTTGCTTCTTTAGGGACCTTGTGTCACACTTCTTTAGGGATCTTGTGTCACGGACTTAGAGTCTTACTAATGTTCCGTACGCGCTTGACAACTTATTCACGATTCTTTCACGATCTTGTAAGCTCAAATAAGCCCTTTAAAGCTACATCGCTAAGAAAATGCAAAGAAAAACTTAGAAAGAATAGAGCTTTTGGAAGAAGACTTTTGTATGGTAGGAAATGAAGGTCCTTCTATTTATACTACAACCTAGGGCTAAAGTGTAATTTAAAATTACTTTACAAGTCCCTAAAGTACTTATACTTTGGTCCCTCTCCAGAATTTTGTACATATTCTAAGATATTCTAAGGCTTTCTTGAAATATCTATGGGTTTCTAGATTTCTCCATAAGCCTCCTCAGAATCTTCCGTCTCTATCCGGTTGCAAAACTTGACTGAAAAGATGGCGAGACATGACACTTTGACTTCTCATATCAACATATGTCACACGCCCCAATTCGAAAAGATGATTAACTTTGAGTGAACATATGTAGCATATTTTCCGTTGCGACTGATTAGCTAGAGCATGAGGGGACCTAGAAGAGGACTGGAAGAAACCAGAAGAAATATTTTTTGTTGTTTTTTAATTCAGTATTTCTATGAAATATGAAGATTCTACGGTTTCTATAAATAATAGTCATTTCTATAAAATATGAAGTTTCTTAAACTTCATATATGATAAGAAAATCATGATAAAATCCTAACAATTATCTCTAAAATTCATCACACATGCGATTGTAGCTAATGATAGTCACGAAACAAAGGGAATAATACCCAATGTTACTAACAGAGAGTAAGGAAAAGATCATCATTCAAAAAATAGCTAGGGAAGTAAGTAACACTACCTTCTTAGAACGAATGAACGAAAGCAAGGAAAAATATATGCATTTTCAGCCTTTTTGGGATCCTCATATACATAATACATCGTCATGGTCTCTCTCATGCGGATTTAGGATTTCCATTAAGGGAGTTCGAAAAAAAGAAAATAGTGGTTTGAACTCTTAAATCATTAAGTCAACCTCTAATCTTATATTTAGGAAGTTCAAAATCAATATATAAACATAAAAATTCTTAAAAATACCTTAAATATACAATGTAATTTTTTGACGAGGAGGTTCGAGTGAACCCCTCGGCATACTCTAAGACCGCCCCTGATAACCATGTAGATCAAAAACTTTTGTAGCTAGCTTTCTCAACCACAATCGAATGTCAATCGTTGTTTGTCTAATATCCTAGAATTGGGACATCATAGATAACAACAACTTTACTTTCTCCTCTAACATATCCATTTATCCCATCAGCTCCTTCAGTGACCTCCTGTTGCTTGGGCTTTTCAAACATGTCAAGATCAAGACCATTGGTTTTAAGAATAAGCTCGAAATTCTTGAATTCATGTAAGAAGTCAAGATCAAGATAAGTTCAACTTTAAATTCATCGAAGATTTAATAATAAGCTTTAAAACTCTCGAATCCAAAATCAAGTTCAAGACAAATTCAAGATCAAGTTCAAGAGTCCTTAAATTTATATTTAAAAAGACGAATTCAGAAGAATTACAGAGATTATAACACTCGCACGTTTCAATAAATATGATTGTTGTGATATTTTTTTAATACATGATTATTATTTTTCTCGACGCAAATTTTATTATCTATAAATACGTAGCCCCAATCTGGGCCTCTAAATAAAATGACATCGGGTTTAGCAAAATGATTTTTTATAAGTAGTTTATCTTTTATAGCCCAAATTAATGAATTCAGATTTTAATCAAATTCATATCGAGGAGGACTTAATTTACTCAATTCTATTAAAGGAAAAAAAACAACATGATATGACAAACTTTGCTACATATTTAAGGTATATAGATACAGCCTACAGTATGTTTATTTATTTATTATGGGTTTATTTAGATATTGAATAGCAAATATGCTACTACGCACTAGTATTGATATTTTCTCACCGAGTCATTCCCCATAGATAGTATTCATGTATTTTTTTATATATTAAGTTAATATCCACGTATTTTTGTATGTATACATACAATATCAATATATTCATTTGTATTGATCATTGGTTAATATCCATATATATATATATATATATATATATATATA